GCATCGGTATAGCTTGTGTTTCACGGTAAGGGGCCATGCCCGGTGTGAATAATGGTGATTGATTGGATTGAATAGTTTTGCTCTCCAAGTGATTTCAGTATGGTAAATATATAATAATTAAGTGTTATTTAGATTACATTTTTTTATAATTAATCTAACTATTTAAACAAAAGTAAAATTAAAGGATTTTTTTTCTTTTTTCCTTTAATATTGAGTATATTTTAAAGAAAGAGTGGTGGCAGCTAGTGATTTCATTCATCATTATAGTTTTAAAGACGATTAATAAATTCGGTCTTTGGCTCCTAATACTGAATTGAACAGGTATAAACCCGATATTGACGGCACAGTACATAGATATAGACATATATATATACGCACATAAATAAATAAATAAATATATATATAATTACATATTTATATATATATATATATTAATATATATATATTTATGTATGTATGTATATTATATATATATTACTAGCATATATATAAGTATTATATTGATAAATATATATATATATATACCGTGTAACTTATAGTTATATAGCACTACCTGTTGAGACATGACATCAAAGCTACACAGTACCCTCCGACACGACGCTTACGAGTGTATCACATATCGCCAGGAAGGCTGTGTTATTTACTCATTACCATCCATAACATACATAGTACTTATTTATAGTATTGATATTAATAACTACTAAATTATACCTATATATATACTACATTACAATATATATTATACTATACATACTACTATAACTCAACACATATATTATATATATATACTATACTATATAATATACTATCAAATAATATACTACTATATCATACACACACACACCAAACACCACACAACCACACACAACACCTATTATATACTATATATACTAATAATTATAATATATATACTATAGGGTAACGTATATATATGATATTGGCTATTATTAGGATATTATACTATATAATATATGTACTATATAGTTATAGTATATGGGTATAAATACCTAGTATTAGAGTCATATGTATGATATGGGATACCTGACTAATATATATATATGATATATAAATGATATATATATGTCTATACTATATATATACTGTATACTATATATATACTATGTATATATATATATTATGATAATGTATTATTAGTAGTATATGTTATATATTATATGATAAATACTATATCATACCACAATATATACTATAACATATAGGGTTATATAATATTAGTATATATATACTTATATTTATATAGTATATTATATTATATCACATACATACGTATACTGATGATTGTGATTGTGTATATATAGTTATACATACATACATTATATATATATACATACATATCACATATATAATAAATACATACATACATATGTTATATATATAAATACATACATAATACTTATATATATATATACATAACACATATATACATATACATATATATACATGAGCATACATAATATATTATATATAATATTAGTCAAATATATTAATATATACCTGATAATATGTATACGATATACAGCATTACATATCATATTATATACATTTACAGATGTTGTCTATATATATATATTGAGTATAATATCCATTATACATACATACATATATGTAGTATATACATGTACTGATACATATATTATATTTTATATCATAGTATATATATATGAATTATATATAAAAATACATACTATATCATATAATTTATAGAAATACATACATACATTAATAATATGAATTTAAATACAGTACATAAATACGTATAACATATCATTATATATATAAATACATACATTACTAATATATATATTATAAATAGCATTACATACATAATAATTAATACTAGTATATATATATACTATATAATATATATATATAAATACAGCACATACAGTAATACTATTATAAATATTACATAGCATACATATATTAATAATACATAGTAAAGTCAATAGACGACGCATACATACTATAAATAATATAATAAAGTACATACATACCATAGTATATATAATCAAACATCACATACAATATATATATAAATAATTACAGTTACATACATATACTCTCCATTTACATAGTAAATATATATAGTTAATAGTATAATCATATTATTAGTAATATTATCATATAATTATATATACATATACAATAGTTATATACTATATATATTACCAATACATGCATAGGAGATATATTATATACATATCATACATAGTAGTAAGATACATACATACTTTAGCATACGATATAGGTAATTATACATACATACATATACAAAATCATATATACATACAACATAGTTATATACATACATAATATTATAACATAAAATATATAATATACATACATACATATATATATATACATACATAATTATATATCATACTTAGTATGAGTGTGTCTAATACACACATACAACATATCATAGTTAGTCAGTATATCATACCATGTTAAGTATAGAACGATAGTGCACACAATACCGGTAATGGGATATTAATATACATACAATATATATATATCCGATACATTTTTTTAAAAACAATTTTGTAACTACTATACCGATTATGACATACCTATATAATACATACGAGTAACATTCAACTATACATAAACATCTACCATATATTTGACACTACATAGCATATACTCATACATACATACGATACGTCACTATATACGAGGTACAACACCAGATATTAAATAGTACATACAATACATATGATATATTGATACGAATTACATTACTATACTATATTATTAATCGTATAACATACATTTATAAGTTATTACAATAATTGCATACAGTACATAGTGCATAGATATAAATTAGGTCATTACAATACGATATGTAATATATACATAAGCATACAGGTGTATAGTATATACATATATTATTATATGATATACAGTAATCATATCATATTACACTTATTAGTATATATATATAAATATATATACATGTATTTTTATGATTAGTTACATTACCCACTAAGTGTTATACTATATTATACATACATGAGGGGTATACCATAACTAAATTATATTATACATACATACATATATATGATACATACATACATATATATATAACATTTTTTATATATTATTTTAATTATTATTATGATATTTTTTTTATTTTTTCTCTTTCCCCCTTTTCTTATTTTTATATTGTTATCAGTGCTATTCTTATCTATATTTTTCTTTATATATTTTTTTATATATAATATATATCTATATTATGCTATTCTATTATTTTTATTAATACATATGAATACCTAGTTAAATATTATTGTATATGTGATATGATCTTTTATTGTTTTTTTTTTTTATATTTGTTGTTTTATATATCATATTCTACTCTATGCTATTATTAGTATCTGTATGTGCATATAATATATCATACAGTTACAGTACCATATTGTAATAGTACATTTTTTTTCTTTTTTTCTAATATATTGGACGTTATCTATATATCATATCAATTATAGATATATATATAATATATATATACATGTATAATATGATACTTTTTGTTATTTTATTCTTATTCTTATTTTATATTCTTATTTTATTTTATTTTTTTTTTTTAGTCTATATATTTTTATTATTTTGTTTTAGTTTTTTTAATTGAACCATTGATTCTTAGCTATTTTTATTTTTATCATATTATATATTACATATATTTTTTATTTATTTATACCATATTCCAGAATACAATATTAATATAGCATATCATACATATTATATATATAATATGTATCATATATACAAAAAGAAAAATGATCTTAATATATATCTTAGATAATATATATTATTATATATACACACATAATAATATATATATAGTAGGTTATGCATTAAATATATATTATTGTTTATATATTTATATTGTTTTGTTGTGTTTTTTTCTTTCCTTGTTATTTATTGTGTTTTTGGTTTGTTGTTTGTTGTTGTGTTGTAGAATGATAGTACTATATGATATGATATATATATTATTTATAGTAGTATATTACTTATTTTTCATATAATAGGTACCATATAGATATCGCTTAGTGGTTATACGTCTATTGTATACCAATTAATACATTCATTGTATTATGTGTTATATTTGTTTGTGGTTTGAGTATATTGATAGTGTATACACAAGATAATGGGGTGATATATATATTAATATAATATATATATATGTGGTGTGGTGTGTGTGTGGAATATATACTATATAATATATATAGTATATATATATATATAATATACTATATATATAATAATATATATATCTTTATTATATATTACATTATTTAGTTATATATATTAGTAACTATATTATCTATAATATATGTTAATTATATATATGGTGTATATATAATATATTATATATATTTATAATATATTATTTATATATATTATAATAGTTATTAGTATAGTTTATATATATATATATATATATATATTAATATAATAGTATATTATATATACTAGATAAGAGTATAAGTATTATAGATATATATACTTTAATATATAGTAGAGTAGATAGATAGATAGATAGGAATATATATAATATATGGAATATATATAGATAATATAATAACTATACAGTTATATACGTTATTAATTATTAGTATTTCGTATATTATATAGATAATAGTAATATAAAAATTTTATAATTTTAGTTGTAATAAGGTTAATTTTTATTTTAAGGGATAATAAAAAAGTATTTATGAATTATATAATTAATTTAATTTTATAGTTATAATGTATTATATATATAATTATAGTATTCATATATATATATTATATTTATATAGATTTTAGCTTATATATATAATGATTAATATATATTTAATAGTATTATAGTCTATATGTATATATGTATATAATATATATATATATTTATATATAGCTATATGATATATATATATATAATATATTGATAGTATGGGTATATAATACGGGTAGTGTTTATAGCTATTTGCATAGATCATAGTATATACCGTATATAATATTATATATTGATATGGTATATAGTATTATTATATCTAGTACACTCCTTACTATAGCTATTTAGTAGTTTATATCCTTATATTATTATATATATATTTGATATACAGATAAAATACAAATATAGACACTAATTACGTTATATATGTATAATATATATATATATAGTAAGTGAGTCATATATTTAATTATGAATAGTATACATACATTACACTATATATATAAAATGTATATTATTATAGAGTATACTATATATATATATTAATTTATATAAATATATATATAAAGGTTATCACAAATATACCATATATACTAAACTATAAATACTACTATATGTAGTATTCTATATATGATATATGTGGCTATATATATATATATATATTATATATATGTATCCTATATTATATATATATATATATGTATTATATAATATATTATAATATACATATATAATTATATATATAGTATGTATATATTTTATTTGTTTTATATATATATTATGTATATGTTATAACTATTATTAATTATATTATATGTATATATTACAGGTGTTGATATATAGCTATATATATATATATTAGATATAAATTTTTAGTAGTATATATATGGATTTATATATATTATATTATATATCTGTTAATATTAGTATATTACTTAAACATATATATATTATTATAATATAAATCATTAAATATTAAATATAATTATTATTATATATTAAAATTATATTCTATGTCAGCGTTATTTATAGTTGTATATATATATATAATTATTATGATATATTATTAGTTATATATATTTAGTAATTATATATATATCTATATTATATATATCATTAATATATATTTTTATTGTTATATTATGTTGATGGGTGAGATTAGTAAGTGTGCTATGGTGTTTTCATATTATTTATAATATTTATCGGTTTAATAAGTGTGTGGGTATATATGATATATATATATCATTGATTGTAGTGGTAATGATATGTGGGTTGGTGGATCATGTGTATATACATCTACTAAAGGTATTATACTTATAATTAGTGCACATATGTTTATCTATTTACATACTAATACGGGGTCAGATGTTTATGGATTTAAGCTATATATATATCCACAATAAAGTACACACACATCAAGTATATATGTACCCGATGCCATGTTGATTCAGAATGAACGCATTAGCTATTTTTATACAATGCTCAGCAGTTCTCAACTACAGAAGTCTTTGGTCTTTAATTAATAAATTAAAGATTTACATTATGAAGTATGTTATGAAAAACTAGGATTTATATACATATACCATGGGAGTTGCAAAAAAATATTATTCATACAAAAACATAATTCACCTGAAATAATAAGAATCACGAAATAAAAAGCGGTTCTTATGTACAAACTCACAAGGGGAGGGGGAGGAGAAGCCATTTTGTTGGGGGGTTCAGTGAAATTCTTGTGAGATCTCAGCCAGAGCTTGAGAAACCTTTTGGACGAACTTTGCCTTGAGGTGTGGATGGCGATCATTTAAAATCCTAACAAAACCCTTAACAGATTCTGTTATGGGATCCAAGGGTGCATTCACTTCCACCATATTCTTCCATACCTTATGCACATCAGCTAGCACTTTCATGAACTGGTCGTCAGTGTGGGTAACGTCACTACTGTTCTGCTTCCTCTTTTTACTGGGCCTAAGAGGAGTTGCATCATTAAGTGAGTTGTTCAATGGTGTTGAGGACGTATAGTCTTTTAGTGTAGGACATCTGGTCAGGTCAGTAGTCATGGTGAACTGCCGAGAGTCAGCTTCTCCCTTTGATGCCATGTCTATACTTGGAGGATTAACAATCAATTCACTAGCAGCACTAGTCCATACCAAAGTCTCCGAAGGCTCTGAAGTAACCTGCAATTATTTATTCAAGGTTCAGTGTGTTTTCATAAGGGAAGATATACATAATCATTATATATAATAAGCTATAATTTGACATAAAATTGCAAATATTGTAACATCAGTTGGAATCTATCACATAACATGGATGTTCCAAAGACAGGTAGTGCTAAGTATGTCTGAGAATCCACTCTCCAGTGTAATAACAACAAATATTTCCTTGCAATTGTTTCCTTCCAATGAATTCTTGGTGAAAATGGGCTGGCTTCTTCTCCACCCCCACAAAATGGAAAATACGGATTAATCATGCTCACTATTAGGACCATCTGATCTCTATCATACAAACAGTTAAAAATAATCAAGAACAGGTGCTTCGCCAGTCCATTAACTGCTGGTGTAATCCCAGCTGTGTCAAATATTATGAAATGTGGCATAAATGGAACCTCTTCTGAAATCTTCCCATACAAAATTATTGGTAATGTATGCACCAACAGTACATGAATTTCGGCAGGATGTCATCTACATGAGCCATGTGAAACAGGTGATGTTTCCTCTTTGCTGCTCCATAGATGTAATGGAGGATCTGCACCTTCGGCTAATCATCAT